AATGTGTAATATTTAGTACATCCTGCAAAAGGAACAAGTTTAATTTAGTTAAGCCACAAGGTTGAGTGAAAAACAGCATGCTGCTGTTATTGTTTAGTCAATTAAATTGTCCTCTGTGCTCTGAAGAACCGTTCCACATTTATAACCAGTGAGAAACACGCTCTGGCAATTTCTTTGCTTCCGATTGTCTTATATTTAGCACATCTAAAGATCTGAGGACAAATGATGGAAGACATGGTGATAAATTGTCAGGCTTTTCTAAAGATTCAGAAGTTCTAAAGTTCCTGCCAGTGACAGATGGTCTGTCCTTACTCATCGCTTGTCTTCCTGACAGGGCTTGATTTTTTCCCCCTTTTTTGCTCGATTCCCTTAAAGTAAGCTCAGCTTCCTGGGAGGCAGGGTAATCTCATTTGTTATAACTATGTTACCTTGCATCAGTATGGAAACAACTCTCTATGTAAACAGGCACCATGCACCTTTACATTATTAACACATGTATTAACACATAATGTACGTGTATAGTGATAACAGAGCAGCATGGAGTAAGGAGATAAGAAACAGTTTACAAAGGAAAATCCATACTTCCTTTCTGTTATTTTGATAACCAAACATACAGGAGTTTCCATTGGATAGTTTTTTTCTTGCTGACTTGCCCAAGCATAATGCTGATTCCATAGCCCAAGCATAATGTGATCTTTTCAGGAGTGTTTCTTATCACTTATCACCATATATCACTATATATATATATATATATATGTATATATGTGTATATATATGTGTGTATATGTATGTATGTATATGTATATATATGTACATGTACAAATACATATGTATATGTATATACATATATGTATGAATATATGTATATGTATGTATATATGTACATGTGTGTATATGTGTATATATGTGTGTGTGTGTGTGAGTGTGTGTGTGTATTATTTTTAGGATATTCAATATTTCATAGCAATCTATTTTTTTTTTGGAATTTTGGATAAAAAATACAATTAGTGTTTACTAACTTGCTAGACACTTGTGAGAATCCACAGAATGAGAACACATAACTATAACAATGATGTACTCAGTTATAAAATAGATTCCCAGTGAAAAAAGGAAAAAAAAAATCAATCAATTTCTTAATCCCTTTCATTGGTTTCAATATGTTTACTGCCACAAAAGGAAATGAGATACTTAGGTAAGGAAGATGGGGAAAGGAAACAATTTTCACTGTTTGAGTTCTAACATAACTGTGGAAATAAATAAAAAGGCTTAAAAAATCCTAAGGTATCTTACAATCACTTCTTAATCCTATATCCAGAAGTAATTCAATTCTTCAAGTTAATAATGACACTAGTCCGATACAGTGTAACTTGAACTGAAGTGTATCAAGTGGAAAGGGATTAATACTACTAAAAAAATAGAAAAATTATCAGATGAATTGATTTGGGATTTACAGTAGTTAATTGGCATCTGTTATACACACCAATAGCTGAGAATTTCTTTTTTATTTAAATATGTCTCTTCTAAGAATGTTCATTATATGTTAGCTCAGTGTGATAATATGTGAAAAGCATAAACAACATTCCCACTCCTTTCTATGTTTTATTTTAACTCTGTTGTATTTTACCTTTCACACACACACACACACACACACACACACACACACACACTATACACAATTGTAGGTATAGTAGATTTTGTGTATATATACACAAACACACACTGTATACTAGTATAGTTATAGTAGTAGACCTTATTTTATCTGTTTATATACCTATTCTAGTCATATAAGTAAAAGAACTCAAAGCCTACCAGGTTTTCAAAGTCTAAACTACTAAACTGCCTGTCCTCTTTTTATCCCTTCCATTACAGATATCAGTTACCTTTTTAATCAGTGACTTTTTCACATTGCTTACTTTTAGTAACATTCAGTCATTAGAAAATCAGAGAACTCTTGCCAATTCCTTGTTTATGCATGAAGATGTTAACCTAAACCTAAGAAAAGTATACTTCTCCTTTAGTGGCCCTTAACTCAGATAATGAGTGAAAGCATTAACATTTTGTGTACAACGTAGCAATAAAAAATTTCAAAGTTTCTTTATAAAATGGTGCCACAGTGATACTTAGATTTTAGCTGTGTATATATGTATATTTTGGTATGTAATGAAAGGGATGAGACCTGTCTACCTTTGTATTCTTAAGAATCTTTCTGGTATTATTTGTTTTCCTTCCCCAAAGAAAACTGGGCTCATAAAAAAAAAAAAAAAAAAGTCCTGAACATTCAACATTTTTGAAAAGGTCAACAAATATTGCATGGTTTTGAAATATTATATGCCTTTATAAAATCACAGAATTTAAAATTACTCTAATGAGCTATTTATTAAAGTTTATTAAGGTTAGAAAAAGGTACATAGCTAAGATTAACAAAAATGCATTGCATTTAGATAAAATAGGCTAAATTACTCTAACAAGTAGACCCAAAGTGTGATGTTTCAAGAGGTTTATTTCAGGGTTAGCACAATACCACATTAAGTAGTAGTGGAGGAGTATGGTCTGCTCCATGAACGCAAGTTATCGTAGTAAATGATTTCTTTCTTTATCTGCAGTAATGTGCTAATAATCTTTCTTCTTGTTTCCAATTTATACTGTGGAATGTCTGATGTGTTCATGCTCATGAGTGAAATTTAAAGACAAGAGTGAAAGAAGATTATCTCCCTGCTGATCCTAAGCAAGGGAAGGTGGTATAGTGAATAGAATCATGGCCTTAGATGACATATTTGCTTTTCTCCTTTACTGAAACACAAGACTGAGCTTGTACCTCTATATGTTTCATGCTTTGCCTGAAAGCTATTTCAGGTCAGAGTGTGGAAATGAGTAAATTTTATGGTCTAGACAAATTATCAGTGAGTTACCATCGTAATCCTTACCCTCTCCCTCTTTTACAAAATGCTGTTGTATGAGACAACTTTTCACTTAAAAAGGTCTACAAGTTAATGCAGAATTCTTATAACCCAAATGTTGCTTAATCTGCCCAAGCTGAGTCATCTCTTCATTCTACTACTGACATTGTTTCAATATTACTTTCAGTCTACATTGTGGCTTTCATTTCTTTTTTTTTTTTTTTCTGATTTCTTGCTGTTTCCAAATTTTAGTTATTCTCTTTTTTAGTCATGGATTTTTTTAAAAAAATGCATTTCTATCTTATCCAGAGAACTACTTTTCTTGTATCAGTCTCTGGTTTGTATTTCTCTAAATTCTTATGGAGTTCTTGCTTACTTTCTAACATTTTTTTTATTGCTAATAAATTAATGATGGTTTGTCTAAGATGGTAAAGAAATATAATCATAAAATTAGAGATAGATGTTGTCAGTATTGCTATAAAGTGATTTCTTAGTAAAACCGAAAACTGCAGTCACATTTTCCACATTGTTTCACATGTCAATTGAAAATATATGCATTTCAAAATATGATAATCATGATATAACTTAAAAATAAATAATGTATCTTCACTTCTATGATAATGTATCATCTATATAGTCCAGTAAAGTCATAGGGACTGATGTGACACATATGGAAAAAGTACAAAATTTATACTAAAATTAAAAGAGAAAACGAAGATTCTGAGAATAACTGTATCCTTTCCGAAAACATTGAATCATACAGGAAATATATTTCCAATTGTTTCTTCATGATTCACTGCAACTTTCAACAGTCATTTCTCAGTTGGTCCAAGAACGAGGAAAAAACAATCACCATATTATAACAATTTCTTGGTAGTTTTTAGAAGCCATCTTTGCTTAAAACCCAATCTTGGGGGGCACCTGGGTGAGTCAGTCGGTTAAGTGCCCAGCTTTGGCTTAGGTCATGATCTCACAACTCCTGAGTTCGAGCCCTATATCAGGCTCTGTGCTGACAGCGTAGAGCCTGGAGCCTGCTTTGGATTCAGTGTCTCCCTCTCTCTCTGCCCCTTCCTCTGCTCGTGTTCTGTCTCTCAAAAGTAAATAAACATTTAAAAAATTTTTAAAAATAACCTTTGGGTATTATCGCTGAAAATATCAGCAATATCTCTTACAAAACAGCCTCACCTATTATATGCCTGTATGCCCCATGGCATGAATCATAACAACATGCCTTAAAATATGTATAAAATCGGATAGAGTGGAAACAGATATGAAAGCTACCTCTACTATACACACCCCATCCCCCCACACACATACCCACACACACACTCTAGCTGTGTGTTTACTTTTTTAGTCCAAGCCAAGCTTGGACTTACTTTTTAGTCCAGCTTACTTTTTTAGTCCAAGCTTACTTTTTTAGTCCGAGCCAAGGACCATTTAGAATCAATTAATTCAAAGTTTGTCAGCCAAGATTTCTACCTATATATTGTTTGCTTTTCCATTTACATAAATTTTGTTTGTTATTACCCAGCTAAAAGCTACTGAAGTTACCCACCCATAACTTAATGCTAATATAATGTTTATTGCTTTTAGTTTTTACATTCAGGTAATTTTACAATTGAATCTCCTTAGGGAACACAGCACAAAGTTTTTCAGAACATGGAGCAGTTTACTTTAAGAAAATGGCAAACATATACACAGGGAAATAGAAAAAGATAAGAATGTTAAGTTAGAGCCAGATTGTGGAGGGTTATGTACTTAGATAGAAAGCCATAAAAGCTGATTTGGAAGAGGAAATGTGATCTGAACTACACTCGCAGTTAAATCACTGTATAGCATTATTTATTTTTTTTTCTAGGCTTTTGATGAATTGATTTTCAAACTTAATTAGCAAGTCTACAGTGCTAATAGTACATATTGAACACAAATGCTTCTATAATGTTTTGCTAAGTTTTCCATCTTTAATTAACAACAAAGACCTTTGTAATATATGATATTTTTGTTTTGTTTTGTTTTGTTCGCCATTTGCAAAGTATGTTCAGTTGATTTGGTTTGGTTTTCACTGTTAATGCTGACTGATAGCTGGTTTGTTTTCTATTCTAGGTTGTGGAGACTAATTTGGTTGCTTTTGACTGTCACTGGATCATTATAAATGAGGTAACACCAACTGAACCTTATTGTCAACTCTGGGTCCTGTTTTCATATATTTAGTCACAGCATTTCCTATGGCCTTGGAGTTCTAAGAGGAAACAGAACACAAAGTAAACTTTCAGCTTCCTGAGTGGATGCTAACTAAAAATAGAGTAAGGAGTTTTCAAAAAATTATAAATGGTTTTGAATGAATAAAATAAATGGAGATCATCTTCCCACTGAGTATCTTTTAGTCTTTTCCATTGGCATACACTGCTTGCTTTGGGAAATCATCTTTATAAAAAGTACAGTTCTTTGTGAACAAACTGAATTCCTCCCAGTGGAGTGCCTGTGCTCCATTTATATTTTAATGTTGTTTCTAGAACTTTTATATCCCACCCCCCTCACACGAGGATTAAATAGTTCAGCAGATGAATATGAATAAATAAAAATAGATATTTTTCTTTTCACAATGAAATATGATTTTAAAATCCATCAAGTTGTCAAGTTCCTCATGAAAGCTTATTGATTTTTGTAAAGACAATACATAAGATTAAAAATATATTATAACATGAGAACTCTGTGAGATAGATTGTTCCATTGGCACCTGCCAATCAGAAATGGAAAGGACAATGAACAAATCAGTCATGGACAAATAATGAGATCACATGAATTTTCCCCAAAAAGACCTAGTATTCATATATCTATTGCTCATGAAAAAAAAGAATTTTTTATTTATTTGTTAGCTGTGTTACTATGGATATATAATATAATCATCCTGTGTCTGTTTTTTCATTTGTACAGAAAGTTCAATCACATTTACTTTATAAGTTCATTATAAAAATTAAGTGAGATACTACCTAATACTCTTAACATACTGCTGACAACTGACATTTACTAAAAGGTACTACAAAAATGATTATAGCACATTAAAGTTCACAGATCACTTTCTCACATGTTAATTTATTGAATAATAAACATTATTCTATGAAACACTGAGAGAATGAAGTTCATAGAGTGTAATTGATTTTACGCAGAAAAATAAAAATCTAGATTTTTCAATAAAAGTCATAGATTTTTCAAGTTGTGTCTCCTATACATTGGTAGAATCTTAGTTCTGTTCTTTTTTTTTGAGCTATAATTAACATATTACATCATAGGTTCAGGTCTATCTATAACACAAGGATTATATAGATATATACACACCTTGTATATATGCATATATATATTGTATATTATATATATATATACACACACATTGTGTATGTGTGTATGTGTATATATATATATATATATATATATA